CTAATATTGCGGCCACATTAAGCCCTTTTTATCAAAAAATACCGTCACGACTTTCCCTAAAACGGTACGGTAAATAGGTGATGAAATAAACGAAACATAAATATTATCGCGCTATTAAACTAATAAAAAGTGGATTACGTAAGGCTTAATTAATTCTTTTCACAGACGTGATAAAGCATAATATTCCCAAAACTTTGTTTGCACTACGACTATCTTGCGACTATTTAGCCTATAACATTGATATGGCTAATAGCTGTGCTAATAGTCTGCTTGCAGAGATTTTCTATTAACCTTACACCAAACATCATTTGCCGCGAATATTATGGTAGACCAAATGTTATTTTCAGTTTCTACGGGGAAAATAATATAAAACTATAAATAAATGAAAGCAAAAGCTTAATTTTTTATCTAAAATGTATCATTGTCTACTCCATTAAACTTCGCCCACGCATTCAATTGTTAATATTCCTAATAACTGTAACGTAAACTCACTAAATCATGACCAATGTAATTTTATCGACGGTCAATATGTAGTTCATAAATATTATAAATTATATCGAATTTTCTATGTAATCGTTCGTTGGTTCAGCCTGCGCGCAGGCGTAGACTTGCAAAGATATTACTATGTACTGTGTATCACCTTATAAAGTATATTATATGTATAAATCCGTTACTGAACTGTTGTGCTCTTGTGTATCTTTAATACGAGTAGATGTTGTTCTTGGCATTTGATGTTGATGTACATAAAACGTTTAAGGATATAAAAAGTATATAAAATAAATTATTATGTTACATACTTGACGTCTTTTATTTTTTTAGCATAGCTTTTTGAACATTGAACCTATATCGGCTGTATACAACAGAACATTTTAGTGCGTATTATGTACTAAGCCATGATATACTATTTGGCAATAAACATAAACGCAGATAAAGTGCCTTTATGTTTATTGGAAGATATCGATTAAAGGACTTTAGTCGATATCTGTGATGTTATCCCATATCTGTCACATAATAGAATGCTTGGAGAGAGTAGGGCAAAGAGGAAAGGTGTTAAGCTATTTTTGACTAATAAACATTTCATAGAAATTAAGTGACAGTTAAAAATGTAATTAAACAAAAAAATTTAAATATTCTTTGTGCTTATTTTCATAAGATTGTAGCGTTTTATCCTGGTCAATCAGCGGTCCAACAATAAAGTCCATTGCCTTGTAGGATAGGACCTACCTTGTTATGCATAAAAAAATGTCCTGATCTAGGAATACGGGACTATTCTCCTCCAGGAATATAATCCTAAGACGTCTAGTTCAAACGGCCAGGCGTTTAGATTGTTTTTTTAATAGATAATAACAATCGCCTAAGTACTCCAGCTACTAAGTTACTGCCAGTCCTTGACAGCACTCAAGTATATTTTATCGATGTCTACAACCGCCTAATGGTGTCAGTGTCGTTATCATCTGAAATCGAGTGTCCATTGAAAGAAATACATTTATTTTACTGTACCTAGATAAACAAATGTTCTATTTTAGAATTACCAGTATATTGCAATATTAGATGGTTAATCCATCGTATTTTTGGGGTACCTTATTGATGGGCTAAATACTAATCAAAGATGTTTCAAGGATAAAGTTTTAGAAATAATGTACTTAAACACTTTGGATACTTACTAGTTTAAGAATTTGCATTTAAAATAATCTCACGCATCATCATGTACTCGTACCACATAACTTCCCTTCTATCATCTGAGCACCTAAGACCTAACGTTAGAAAGTAAGATACCTACGTAGCCATTCTAAACAAATAAAATATGATCACCTATTGAGCTATCAGTTTTGCAGTCTCAATACTAAATATTCAATTGAATACATTACATATTACTAACTGCTATTTCCTGCTTCCCGCTTTGGTTCAAGACGAACAAGAATCCGTTTCTCGCACGAAGGCAATCATCTTTAAGGATCGTAAGTGCTAATTTAGTGGCATTTTTAAATATGGCAGGTTAGGATAACTGCTTGTGTGCCTCCTGTACGACAATGCAGACTTATATTTATTACACTGCATACGTACTCGTACCTATAGCAGTCTTAAGATAACTTGATAACTTAAGGCCCTTCAAGCTCTGTGACAAAATGAATATTAGGTATATTTAACATTAATTGTACCCTATTTTTCAAAGGTCAATTGAATAATTATGATTACTATCCGTTCGCGATAAGTTTGCCGTTGGCGATATGACGTCACTCGAAGGAAAGCGTCTATAACTATGCAAACTGTTTTAAAAATACATCGCGCACTAGTTATTTTTCAAATAGTTTCTTCGTTGTAGCACCTAAAATTTTTAACCATTTACCTGACAGCCTAAAAGAGTTAAATTATAAAAACTTCAAGACAGCAGTGTGTGAAATTTTAGTCAAAAAATGTTATTACTCCTTAAATGAATATTTACGAGATAAAATTAGTTATTGATGTTATATTACTTAATTAGTCTAACTAGCCTACCTTAAGTTACAAGATTTTAAAATGTAAGATTGTTACTTGTTCTGAAGTTTGTTAAGTGTTTATTGTTTGTTCGTTCGTTCGTTCGTTTTCAGCCAAATGACGTCCACTGCTGGACAAAGGCCTTATTGTTTGTTATGTAGTTATAATTATGTTACAACTACGTAACTGTATTCATATGAATATAATATTGTACGCCCAATCGGCAGGTTATAGCGGTTGTATGTAAACATTTAAGATCTGTGTTATTGTATTACCTATAACTAACACAATAAATGATTATTTGATTTGATTTGATAATATTTATTATTTATTATATTGATAACAATTTTGTATTTGCGTAAAATAAGACACTTAATGGCGTTTAATCACTAACTAATTGCGTTTAATCTCGGTTGGGGGAGGGGACGCGTATTCCACGGTCCGGCAAACTTAGCGCGAACGGGTAGTACTGACTTGGTTATTTTTACATAAATTAATCTATAACTTCTTACTTAATGCAACAATAAATAAATAAATCTTTGGACAATTTCACACAGCGCCAGCTAGCCCCAAAGTAAGCAACTTAATGCTTGTGTTATGCGTGCTAGCTTAACGGATATACTACTTATGTACTTTTTTTTAAATACATACATATTATACATAGTATATAACACCCAGACCCGTCACAGAAATTAAAATTCATCATTTCAATTTTTGCCCGGCCGGGAATCGAACCCGGGACCTCTCGGCATAGCAGTCCGTTCTGAACCACTACACCAAACGGCCGACAAAAACAAATTTCGTAGCCCTTTACAATTTTCTTGTAATCTTTTCAATGATTGTGCCGTAGTAGCGCAATGCGTGAAGTGCGTATCTTGATTGCTGAGTGATATCCACTTGAGGTGTAAGTAAGCCAGACGTAGCTATCTAAAAGGCCATTGCCACTTGAAATATTGGCACACTGCTCATTGCGTTATTAGGTTAAGATGCCCATTGACTGTCTGAGGTATGGCAGAGGACATCACTTATCAGAGGTCCTGGCTTCGATTCCCAAATGAAAAAGAAACTTTCCGTTAGGAAATTACAAGCTTGAATGAATCAGATTGTTGTATTTAGGTAATAAATACAAAATAATAATTATTTAGTTTGTAAATAATATTTAGCTTTAATTTACTAAAAATATAACAGCTATGAAATAAAATTAATAATTCAAAATAGTCACAATAACTGTTTCATGTTAACTATTTTACAATAAACTATTTTATTTCCTCGATTTTCCGTAAAAGCCTAAAAAAACTTTAAAATGCGTATTGGTTTGTTTAAAAATGCTTATAATAGGTAAATTAAGATAAAAAATAATTAATTAAGACTGTGCTAATTCAATTTTACGGGTAGCTCTCACAACCGAATGAACTTTTTCAAATCAACCTTCAAAGACTGACAGCAAAAAGAAAAAGTCGGAGCGCGATTTATTTTCTGTGAAAATGTCAACGCTGCGGACGGTACTCGCGAATAAAGCTGATATTGAAATCGTAATCTTGGAGGCAAACGGCTGATACTGGCCGTCGGAGCAGCCACTACCGCTGACACCGCGCCGCCGCGCAGTCGCCATGACCAAAACCAAGGACTCCGTGGACCTGGACTCCATCCTGGCCGAGCTGGGCCAGTTCGGACGCTACCAGATCCAGAACTACTGCTTCATCCTGCTTCCGATCATGTTCAGTGCTGTGTACAATGGACAGTACATCTTTGCGGCCGCCAACATGGATTACAGGTACCGTTTTTGATTGTTTTGATTCGAAAGTGTTTTTTGACTCGGATTAGACGAGCTATTCAGGCGTTTAGGGATGCAAATTAAAGCCATAGATGTTCGTTAGAAACAGAAATAAATAACAATTGCATGAACCTTTTTACGTAACTTAGGTAGGTACATTAATCTATTCCAAAACATGAAATCTGTTGGTACAATAACATATTTCTTAGATAGGTACATACTTATTTAAAACACGATTCGACTGGGTATGTTGTGGTAATTAAAGTAAAAAACTAAATTGAATAAATATATTATTATTGATTGATAAAATCGTCGAAATTCTTGTAAGGATTAGTATTGAATAATGTATTCAGTACGATTAGTGCAACTGGTGATAACCGAGATAGCTTTCGTAATCTGAAAGTGGCGGACTTAATTATTACTGACAACACTCAATACATTAATATTTATGTCATCGATCATCCCAATCCCGGAACTAAGAACGAATATTGTGAGAAGTAAGTTGTCTATCTACTTCTAAAAATATACTAATGTTGTAAAGAGGTAGGTATAGTTTGAACTGATAGACAAATTTAAATCAAGTAAATGTACTAAAAAAGGTATTAGGTATAAACTATCACGGAGGGACTAAACCGTTTCAATACCTACTCCTGATTTCCGTTCAGAAAGCCGATAAACCCATACATGTAGGTACTTAGGTGTAAATTTTAGTTTTGTCAGCCTTGTTTACAAGATTATGATCGANGGCAATGCGATGCGATGCCGATCCGGTGATGAATTGATTGGCAAACGCCAGACCTTAGTCTAGTAACATAGCTAGTCTTTGTCACACACTGTGGTCACCGAATAAATATAATTTAGCCACGTAGCTATAAAAGAGTTACCGACTAAGAATAACTATCCTTTCCATATTTATTTCATTAGAAATGGCAAGAAATTAACATTTTAAATACAAATGTATTTGATAGCTACCTAAATAGGTAACTATCGAATTCATCATTATGGATTGTTGACTATTCTTATTATGTTTTGTGCAGTTGTAATGAATATTTTTTCATATTATTATATTTTTATAACGTCATTATAATATGTTATTAATAATAATTTATTATTTAACAACTTTAGCATTCTCAAGTCTTATTGGTCCTCGTATACTTCATACACATTTTTCAGATGAGTCCCAAATGTAAAATAGTAAAATATTGAGTGCATATTAGACTTGAGAATGTTAATATAGGTTAAGCTACTTCTAAGTAAGTATTGTACGAATAACCGGTGGCTGTTATAAATTATCGTTTTTCGGTGGTTTTCGGTGAAAGTTCTATGGCGTCTGAAGTAGTGTTGCTAAGTATCCCGTGATAAGAAAAGATATAAAATATCGATGATACATCTATAATATTTCCACTGTTCACGCAGTATCATTTCAACTGTTTTCAATGCCATGCCAATGGTCATGACAAAAAACTAAGTCTTTAATTTTTACGATTAAGTAACAGGCACACAGCAGGCCATTGTGCAAATAAAAGTTTTATTCCGAATAGGAAGTGAAATATTTAGAAGATAATATATTTATATTTCAACTATTATCGTCGAAAATAAATACCTAGCAACACTATGTTACTTCCCCGCCTCTTGGTGATACGGTTTTTAGATTTAGTTCGGCGGCGTAATATATTAGTTGTGCGATTGTTTTGTATTGTGAATATGTAATCCAAATGCTTTGTCATTGAAGCAGACGTACTGAGAACGATATCATTTTATGTAAATGTGATTTGAATCTTGGCAATAATTTATTATTATCGGGTCTTAAACTCGTGTACCTATAAGTCGTAATGAGGATGTGGAGATATCATTGTGAAAGTTGTCACTAAACGATTCTATTGCGATCTATATTATCGATATGTGTCTGCAAACAGTAACTATTTCTCAGTCTCTTTTTTTTGGAATAAAAATTATGTTGCTTGCTCCTTTACACTCGTATATCATGATAAAGATGGCAATACTAATTACGAATTACTAAAAACTAGTTAACTGCTATGCGTCGAGATTTCAGTATCAATAATATAGATTGACATTTAAAAGGTACAAAAAGCCTTCAAATCGAAAGAACATCGAGAAAACACTTCAAATTCTCTTAAAAATGTTCTATATGTATTATTGTATTGTATAGTGTGGTCTCGTGTCCCTTTCTAGTGTTCACTACTGTGTAGTTGTGAAAGAGATGGGTAGTGGTCCTTCTGTGCTGGGCGAAGTTGATTTGAGTAATATTCTTAGTAAGAACAGACGATAATATTTTGTTTTTATCACTTTTATTTTTATTTTAAACTCTTGTTCAAAGTGACATTTTGAATGAAAATTGCTTTTTAAAACACGCGAGTCACTTTGTTTTATCGATCGTATCGAGGTATCGATATCGATCTAAAGATATAAAATTCTGTGTTATCTATTGGTGACAGTTCCAGCAATAAATGCTAAGTAGGTATAGATGACCCACGCTGAACTGTCCCGCCAAACTCAATGACAGGGGGGCGCTACCATCGTTCAACTATATGGTTTCCAACATGGCAAAAATCTGAACCAGCGATCCGGTATTGACGGTGGCGCCCCACTGTCAATGTCATCGACAGGACAGTCCAGTATTTTGGAACTATAGTGTAATTAGTTTCACAATTTATTAATATCATAAATAATTTTAACGATTTTGCTAAGATAATTGATTTTCTGTTGTCTTCTTTGTCTTTATTTATGTGACAATGAATATATTGAAGTAGTTTTAAATTTCCATAACTAAACTACGGCCTGATGGCCGCTGGGGCAGAAAAGTTCTTGAGTGGCGACCACGAGCCGGAAGACGTAGCGTGGGCAGGCCTCCCACTAGGTGGACCGACGATCTGGTGAAGGTCGCGGGAGGTGCCTGGATGCGAGCGGCGCAGGACCGGACTTTGTGGAAATCCTTGGGGGAGGCCTTTGTCCAGCAGTGGACGTCTTTCGGCTGAAACGAGCGAGCGAGCGAAACTACGGAAATCAGTTAATATTTAAAACCACATACCTATATCAACTCGCTTTTAAAATTTATCAACAAAAAGATATACCTTAATTTGCTGTCCTTAAAAATAAAAGTATGCCGTGCACCTATGAGACAAAACGTCCAATGATAAGGACCGCTTTATTGTCGTTTTCCCGATTGTGAGTACTCGCCCTTGAGTGTCAGATGTGACCTGCGTGATAAAGGCAGGTGTTCACGTGCGCGATGCCCATCAGACTCGCCAGTTCTCATTACCAGATAATACTGAGCCAAATTGTCCTGTCTAATATTGCGGCTACATTAAGCCCTTTGTATCAAAAAATACCGACTCGACTTTCCCTAAAACGGTACGGTAAATAGGTGATGAAATAAACGAAACATAAATATTATCGCGCTATTAAAGTAATAAGAAGTAGATTACTGTAAGACAGCTAATTAATTCCTTAGACGTGATAAAGCATAATATTCCCAAAACTTTTTTTGCACTACGACTATCTTGCGACTATTTAGCCTATAACATTGATATGGCTAATAGTCTGCTTGCAGAGATTTTCTATTAACCTTACACCAAATATCATTTGCCGCAAATATTATGGTAGACCAAATGTTATTTTCAGTTTGTATGGGGAAAAATAATACAAAACTATAAATAAATGAAAGCAAACGCATAATGTATTATTGTCTACTCCATCTAACTTCGCCCACTCATTCAATTGTTAATATTCCTAATAACTGTAACGTAAACTCACTAAATCATGACCAATGTAATTTTATCGACGGTCAATATGTAGTTCATAAATATTATAAATTATATCGAATTTTCTATGTAATCGTTCGTTGGTTCAGCCTGCGCGCAGGCGTAGACTTGCAAAGATATTACTATGTACTGTGTATCACCTTATATAAAGTATTTATATGTATAAATCCGTTACTGAACTGTTGTGCTCTTGTGTATCTTTAATACGAGTAGATGTTGTTCTTGGCATTTGATGTTGATGTACATAAAACGTTTAAGGATATAAAAAGTATATAAAATAAATTATTATGTTACATACTTGACGTCTTTTATTTTTAAGCATAGCTTTTTAAACATTGAACCTAATCGGCTGTATAAAACAGAACATTTTAGTGCGTATATGTACTAAGCAGATAAAGTCTGCCTTTATGTTCATTGGAAGATATCGATTAAAGGACTTTAGTCGATATCTGTGATGTTATCCCATATCTGTTGCCATAGACAATGCTTGGGGAGAGTAGGGCAAAAAGGAATGATGTTAAGCTATTTTTGACTTTTGTGACTGATAAACATTTCATAGAAATTAAGTGATAGTTAAAAAAGTAATTAAATAATAAAATGTTAATATTCTTTGTGCTTATTTTCATAAGATCTATACTGGTCAATCAGCGGTACAACAACAAAATCCATTGCCTTGTAGTATATGTAAAATGTCCGGATCTAGGAATACGGGACTATTCTCACCTCTTCTTCCCGCCGCTGCAACTCCAGAAATATAATTCTAAGACGTCTAGTTCAAACGACCAGGCGTTTAGATAGTTTTTTTAATAGATAATCCTAATCGTCAAATTACTAAGTACTCCAGCTACAAAATACTGCCAGTCCCAGTAGTCACTTGACAGCACTCAAGTGTATATTTATCGATGTCTACAACCGTCTAATGGTGTCAGTGTCGTTATCATCTGAAATCGAGTGTCCATTGAAAGAAATACATTTATTTTACTGTACCTAGATAAACAAATGTTCTATTTCAGAATTTCCAGTATATTGATAGATAGATAGATAGATAAATCATTTATTTGCATACACTTAACACACATAAAGAGTAAAGTTGCAGCTTAACAATAATAAGAAAATAATAGAATACAGTAGAATACTAGTTATACAGGGTGGCCAAAACAGTGAGGTCTAAAAGAAAAATTTAGATTCCTTACATCAAGGTGTACCTAAATCACCCCCATGTATATTATACGATTGTGCTTAGTTTAGGAGATAGAGTTAATTTTGTGATATTTTAAAATTTTATGACCTAGTAGGCTTTAAACATTTTTATCTTTTTTTTGGGTTGACTTTTTTCAGATTTCTTTTTTTCGACAGATTTGTTATTAATTGCAGATGTTTGAATAAAATAATCACCTTCCTATCTTTGATTCAAGATACAAAAGTTTTGCTAGAAACAATAAAATTATGATTTTATCAGAACACTATCAAATTTTCAACTTAAAAGTTTAAGTAAAAAAAATAATTTCCATAGGTCCAAAACCATTTTAAAAACTGCGCCGTTTCCTGAACTTTCATAATAATACAAAAAAACATGTACTTAATAGGCCACTATTTCCTGTAATCGGTCTACTTAAGTGGTAAGTCGGAGATTCCGTTACATGTTTTTGACTTTCTTAGAGTGAATTAATATTGAGAATCCTCTAAGTTTACATTACGTAGAACAGATTTAAAGCAGTAACTAGACAGAACATGTTTTTATTCTCAACGAGGAAACTCTTGCCCTTCATCACACCTGGTGGAAACTGATGATTAGGCTGAAGGTGGAAGGGAACTTCAACTACAGAGGAACTATGGCTTCCTACCTCCAAATGCCGGAA